CCAGGAACCCGACCACAAGCAACAGCCTGGGAGACAAATGAAAAGAAATGGGAGACAAATGAAAAGAACTGGGAGACAAATGAAAGCAAGTTGGAGACAAGCCAGCCTGGAACCCGACCAGAAGCACCCACCCTGGGAGACAAATGAAAAGAACTGGGAGACAAATGAAAGGAAGTGGGAGACAAGCCAGCCGGGAGCCCGACCACAAGCGCCCAGCCTGGGAGACAAATGAAAAGAATTGGGAGACAAATGAAAGGACGTGGAGACAAGCCAGCCTGGAACCCGACCACAGGCGCCCACCCTGGGAGACAAATGAAAAGAACTGGGAGACAAATGAAAGGAAGTGGGAGACAAGCCAGCCAGAAACCCGACCACAAGCAACAGCCTGGGAGACAAATGAAAAGAAATGGGAGACAAATGAAAAGAACTGGGAGACAAATGAAAGCAAGTTGGAGACAAGCCAGCCAGGAACCCGACCACGAGCACCCAGCCTGGGAGACAAATGAAAAGCACTGGGAGACAAATGAAAAGAACTGGGAGACAAATGAAAAGAACTGGGAGACAAATGAAAGCAAGTGGGAGACAAGCCAGCCGGGAACCCGACCACAAGCAACAGCCTGGGAGACAAATGAGACAAATGAAAAGAACTGGGAGACAAATGAAAGCAAGTTGGAGTCCAGCACCAAGGCGACCATTCTTTAAAGCATTGAGAACCACTAACAGTAAACTGTTTGGGGAATGATAAGAAGTGGGAGACAAATGAAAAGAAGTGGGAGACAAATGAAAGGAAGTTGGAGACAAATGAAAGGAAGTGGGAGACAAGCCAGCCGCAAACCCGCGACCACAAGCACCCAGCCTGGGAGACAATGAAAAGAACTGGGAGACAAATGAAAAGAAGTGGGAAAGGAAGTGGGAGACAAGCCGGCCGGGAACCCGACCACAAGCACCGAGCCTGGGAGACAAATGAAAGGAAAGGAGCCAAGTGAAAAGAAGTAGGAGACAAATGAAAGGAAGTGCGAGACAAGCCAGCCGGGAACCCGACCACAAGCAGCCAGCCTGGGAATCCAAAAATGAAAAGAACTGGGAGACAAATGAAAAGAACTGGGAGACAAATGAAAGAAGTGGGAGACAAATGAAAGCACGTGGGAGACAAGCCAGCCGCAAACCCGACCACAAGACCCAGCCGGACAAATGAAAAGAAGCGCGAGACAAATGAAAGGAAGTGGGAGACAAGCCAGCCGGGAACCGGACCACAAGCACCCAGCCTGGGAGACAAATGAAAAGAAGTGGGAGACATATGACAGGAAGTGGGAAAAGAACTGGGCGACAAATGAAAAGAAGTGGGCGACAAATGAAAGGAAGTGGGAGACAAGCCAGCCGCGAACCCGACCACAAGCACCGAGCTTGGGAGACAAAAGACAAATGAAAAGAACTGGGAGACAAATAAAAGGAAGTGGGAGACAAGCCGGCCGGGAACCCGACCAGACCATCCAGCACCAAGGTGACCATTCTTTAAAGCATTGAGAACCCCTAACAGTAAACTGTTTGGGGAAAAAGTGGGGGACACATGAAAGGAAGTGGGAGACAAGCCAGCCAGGAACCCGACCACAAGCAACCAGCCTGGGAGACAAATGAAAAGAACTGGGAGACAAATGAAAGGAAGTGGGAGACAAGCCAGCCGGGAACCCGACCACAAGCACTTAGCCTGGGAGACAAATGAAAAGAATCGGGAGACAAATGAAAGGAAGTGGGAGACAAGCCAGCCTGGAACCCGACCACAACCCACCCTGGGAGACAAATGAAAAGAACTGGGAGACAAATGAAAGGAAGTGGGAGACAAGCCAGCCAGGAACCCGACCACAAGCACCCAGCCTGGGAGACAAATGAAAAGCACTGGGAGACAAATGAAAAGAAGTGGGAGACAAATGAAAGCAAGTGGGAGACAAGCCAGCCGGGAACCCGACCACAAGCAACAGCCTGGGAGACAAATGAAAAGAAATGGGAGACAAATGAAAAGAACTGGGAGACAAATGAAAGCAAGTTGGAGACAAGCCATCCGGGAACCCGACCAGACCATCCAGCACCAAGGCGACCATTCTGTAAAGCATTGAGAACCCCTAACAGTAAACTGTTTGGGGAAAAAGAAAAAACTAAATATTCTCTTGGAAGTGACAGCATTTCGCTCCCCCAAGTCCTGTGTATTCACTGCATGATGAAAAGCAGCAGAGTTAACCTCGAATTTTCAGAGAAGAATGTGAGAAGAACGTGAAGTGGAAAAGCGGCAAAGCTGAGCCCCCCACCTCGTCAGAAGGCATCCCCCAAATGCACTGAAAGTCTGGAATAGTCGCCTTGGAACTCAGAGATCGAACGTCCAAGACAAACAAACACCTTGTGAAAGTTCACAAACGCACAGGTGCACCTCCAGAGGTACTGCCATTCTCAGTTCCGGACCCATCGCACACCAAAAGCTCCTTCCTGCAGGTGCTATGGAATTGGCGACAGGTCTCACCAAGCGGTCAAATTGACTCCTGTGGAAAAGCACCAAGCCGATGCTGAAGACCACGGTTCAAATGGAACTGATCCTCAAAACCAAATGGACCAAATTCCAATAAATTTCATGCTACATCCAATGTGCTCTTGCATGTCAAAGCTTAGTGCCAACTGTATAAGGCGGATATCCATCCATCTTGGGAAATGCCTGGCCAAAACTTAAAAACAACGAAAATGGAGTCTTCCTACATGCCATACACTTGGCTTAGCTGCCTTTGCTGTGAAAAAATCATGTTGTAAAAAACTCGAGGGCACCTGTTCCTCCTGCAAAACTTTCTGCCAGAAACACCTGAAATCTAGGTTCCAAAACGTAGACTTGACTCTGCAAAGCTTGTGGCCTGGTGCGGGAATTGCAATGCAGCAGGCAAAAGCCTGCGTTTACCTCCCCACATCGAAGATCCGGAATCACCTCGCAAGAGCGCACAAGTGGACAGGTGAGGAAGCGGACTTAAAACATCGGCCACACGTGCCCAAGAACACCACTCAACGTACAAGCCAAGCTCTGTAAGACTGCCGGATCAACACATGATATGAAGGCTTGAAAACCCAAGGCTGAAAGAGCAAGATGTAAGGAAACTAGAGGGGTGATGTCCGATGTGATGATGTGACGTGCAGCAACTGTTCCTTTCTCGTGATGGGGTGAAGCGCAATGTGGTCACAGGATTCTTGGTCGTTCACGGTGTGGTTCAGTACGATGTGATGCGTAGGGTAACGTGTTAACGTGCTGTGACGGTGTTTGCGGTGTGGTGAGTTGTAGCAGGGTGATTCGTGATGACCATTTCGACCTTTCGAGACGCCAATGTAGCGCTGCCGATCACTGTTGGATGAGGGGTGGCTTTCAGCCATCAGCTCAACAACATGTTCAAAGGGGATCCCAAGGCCGCGTCGGTCATGGCCTCTGTGGGGGCATCGTCCCTGCTCAAGAAAAGGCATAAACTTCATCGTGCTATGGCCTCCGTCCGCTCCCGCATAAAGATCATGTCTAGGCCTTCCTCCTGACGTTGTCATTCAAACGTTACAGTAGATTCCAAAAGAAAGTGCCAGTCTTGGGCACTCCTTCATCCATTTAAGCCACTCACATTGCAAATGCCTTGCTTGAAGCAAAAAATAGCAAAATACGTTGAACTCCTTCAAGCAAACCATGGAAACAAAACAGAACTGGTGAGCCTGAGAGTACAGAAAGATTAAGGAAAATGGCATCAACTTCATGTGCATAAACTTCATCCATTTAGTGTCTGGAAATGTGTCTTCAACTACTCCTCACTACCCTTATCCAAACCTGTCTTTTTGCTGAAGCATTCTCTTTTGTGTAGCGTTTCTTGACTTCAGAAAGAAGCCATCCAAAACCCAAGAAGCAAAACGACTCCAGACTATTTTGGAGAGCGTTTCTAGATTGGAAGACCCCCTAAACTCTGTAATTGGTTTTATCGAGGAGGTGTTGGCTTTCTTGCAGCTCTTTTTGTCGAGCTTATTTTGGTTTCCGGGCAATTCTGTAGTTTTATGTCATCATTTTTGCAGATTGTTGGTGCTTTTTGTGAAGGAAAATGTGTTTTTGCAAACGAATGGCATTTGCAAAGGAAGAGACTTGAATCAGTAAAGTTTGGACAAGGAAGTCTATTGTAAATGAAGACATATTGTGAGGGAGAAGACACGTTCTTACCAGTGAGGCCCTTGCAAAAGCAGCACGCTTCGTAAAGAGTGGAGCTTTATCAAAGAAGCAATGTTTTTAGGGAGGAGGACATTCGGATGGCGCCCTTTCAATGGAAGAACTCATGAGAGATGGCCCTTAATGAGGGAAGAGACTTCTATGAACAAGTATAAGTAGCTTTGTCAAGAAAGACAAATAAAAGTGCTCTTCAAAAAAAATGACTTATATATATTTGCTCAAGGAAGAAAAGCCTATGCACAACAGCTTGAACCATTCAGAAGTGGATAGTGCACTCTCAGAATCCCCCCTTTCCAAAAGACTAGCCTTGAGAGTTGAAAAACTCTCTATTATCTTTATTGCTTTGACACATCAAAAAGGTCAATCATTCCAAGCCGCCTACATGAAGTGTGGGAAGAATTGAATGTCCGTGTCCTCGGTTGGCATTTTTGTGTTGATGATACACGAAGACAAAAAAAGGCCAATATGACTGGCTTGACCAAGCAGCCGTGTGAATAAAGTACTCGTCGAAATGATTCCCGATCCAGCTTACAACCTGTTCTGGTGTGTGTTCCAGGGGGTTCAGAAATCTGACGGAAACAAAACAGAACGTCAGTCGCTCAGCATCACTGACCGTCCCCAAGCATCCTTTTTTGAACCTGTGACACAGTGTCACAGGCTACCGTGAAAGCAGCCTCTTGAAGTTGCCGGTCAATGGCAAAGCGCCAAGAGTCGGTGCAGTAGCCATGAGGCCCGGGCAACCTAAACCGTCAAGGTCAAACTTTGCCAAGCCAGTTTATGCATGTTCTTGACATCTGGTTCACCCTCAAACCAAAATGAACCTCAAAGCGCAAAGGTGGTGGTGGTGGTGGTGGTGGTGGTGGTGGTGGTGGTGGTGGTGG